CTTTTAGTGCCAAGAAGACGGTGAACCGTCTTTTCTTTTTTTGTTGTTGCTTGTAATGACTTTTATTGGATGGGGTAAACTTCTGACTCTGGTCACAGTCTCAGCTGTAAAATTGTTGTTGAACATTGATTCTTTGTACTGATATGAATTGCTGCATCCTAAAAAATGTGGTACATGCTTACTGTGTTATAAATATGCCAGTGTTATTCATGCCTGCTCTCTGAAACCTGATCTGGCAATACTTCCATATGGAGACCAGACAGAGGTCTGTTCCCACATTTTACCAACATCCTTTGATTAGATACTAATGCATTTTTTTCATTGAGCTATTAAATGTTTATAATACTATGGAGTTCAGTTAAATAGCATATGAGGATGATAATATTACTTATACTGATATGAATTGCTGCATCCTAAAAAATGTGGTACATGCTTACTGTGTTATAAATATGCCAGTGTTATTCATGCCTGCTCTCTGAAATCTGATCTGGCAATACTTCCATATGGAGACCAGACAGAGGTCTGTTCCCACATTTTACCAACATCCTTTGATTAGATACTAATGCATTTTTTTCATTGAGCTATTAAATGTTTATAATACTATGGAGTTCAGTTAAATAGCATATGAGGATGATAATATTACTTATGTGTGTGTGTGTCTAGATTGGAGAGCGAGGTATTAATCTTTCAGGTGGTCAGAAGCAGAGGGTCAGTTTGGCCAGGGCAGTGTATTCTAACAGAGACATCTTCCCTTTGGATGATCCTCTGTCTGCTGTTGATGCACATGTTGGGAAGCACATATTTGAAGAATGCATCAAGAAAGAGCTGAAGGGCAAATCAGTCATTCTGGTCACTCATCAGCTGCAGGTAATTCACTCTAACATGTTTCCATGTCCTGTTCATTGGCTTTGAAGGCCTCTTTTCTGTTTGAAGATTTGAGCTGTTAGTGGAGTAAATATTTGCTCTTACCAGATAAAATATAGATATGTGATCCCCAATAGCTTCTGAAAACCAGAAAATATCAGGGAGTTTTAAATGATGTTTGTGGAAAAGACATGGACGTCAATAAAATCTTAAAAGCCATTATATTATATAATAAAAAAGTTAAAAAAAATATTTACTAAAATATTTAATTGACCAGTTATATCTCTTGTGTACACAGAAACCTGCTCCAAAAATGACCTACGATAAATAAACTCTAGAAGGATTGCTGAGTTATAAGTTGCTTTTTGTCAACAGGTGTTTCCAAGATTAAGGGTATATAGTTGAATGTACATGAAGTTAATATATAACCGGAGGAAAATACAATATAAAACAGGCATGGCACATAAACCTCACGTTGGCAGTTTCGTGAAATAAACAGTAATGATTCATTTGTGTTGTCGTAACACATTTAATGAGTAACCTCCTCAGGTTAGGAAAAGGGTAATCTAATTTTGCCTCACCGATTATGTAATGGCAGGAACAAAATTCACCATTAGAGAAAGCTCCAACCTTTTGTTGACTCATATCAAACAGTAAGTCTTAGCAACTGTGTGACTCAGCACAGCTGCCTTTTAACGTGTAACTCTACACAATGATCCTAAAGTCATAACTTTTAACTAGTTATTCCCAGATTTTTTGTGCTCTCATCTCAACCGATGTTCTCAGTTGCTCCTCTCTGTTGTGTTTGCAGTATTTGGAGTTTTGTGACGAGGTGTTGCTGTTGGATAATGGGGAGATAAAGGAGGCAGGGACTCACAGTGATTTGATGAAAGCTAAAGGCCGCTACGCTCACCTCATTAACAATGTCCAGCTGGAACAGAGCAATGTAACCACTCTCACTTACGCCTCTCAATTACTTTATAAATGAAATAGGCCATTAAAATAATACAACTTATTGTACTCTAGTGGACATGTACCAGTTTCCAGTACTAAGCAAAAACAAATTCAAAGAACAGAATCATTTGTGTGTCACTGAAGTTCTTCTTAATTTTCACTTTTGGATCATATAGGAAAATGCAGAGTCTGATTCCAAAACACATACTGAACACAATGACTCTAAACAGACCAATCCAGATAAGCCAAAAGTCAACGGCATTGAAAACCCAGGTTAATGGTTAAATATGTGATTAACAGGAGAATCTACTTTTCTTTAATTTGGGATCCCTTTAGGAGAGCAACAACATATCAAATTGACCAAGTTTAAAAATGAATAGCTGTTAACTACTGTCTATTAATAAATTATTCTTTTCATAAATAACTGCAGTAAATCCTATTATATTTTCCTGACATTATTTTATTTTGCAATAAATAAAGAGAAATATATAAATGAAATTTATTTATAAATAAATCTTTTTAAGTATTTATAAATGTTTTATAAGAAATATAATTTATATACCTAAATAATAGCGGATTAAAATGATTGATTAAAACATGACTAAACATGATAACATGATTAAAAATTGAATTAGAAAAGATTGTCTAAAAGCATGATGGCTTTCACATAAATTGAAAGTTTAGCATGAACATTTTAAGTTCAGCATTGTGTTAAGGCTGGAGGATTATTCACGTGACTTCATAGTTGTAGAAGACGTTACAGTTTAAATATGCAGTTCCTACGCCTGCTAAATATCATTATATGTAAAGACCATGCATTAATAAGCAATTCATCGCTTTATTTCTTTTGGTAAAACTGACAAACTGCTAAAAACATCTTTATTTATTTTCTCTTTCTAGCTTTTGATATGTCTGCATGACATGAAACATGAATTACCCAAGGACTCCACAGAAGCAAAAGGTCGATATATGAACATATTCACAGTATAACCATGAAAATATCCATTATATTCTTACTGGTTAAATCTGACTTGCACAGTGGTGTGTATGTGTGTTACAGGGAAAAAGGATCAATTAGTAACACAGGAAGTGTCAGTTACGTGGAGGACTTACCACCAATACTGCAAAGCTGCCGGAGGTGTTTGTCTTTTTTTCTGTCTCTTTGTACATTACATTATCAACGCTGTAACACCGTTTCTCAATTATGCCTTTCTCTCTGTCTATATATCGCTGTAGGGTATATACTGCTGTTATTTGTTATTCTTCTCTTCACTCTTCTCGTGGGATCGACTGCTTTCAGCAGTTGGTGGCTGAGTTACTGGTTAGAGCAGGGATCAGGGGTAAATACGTACAAACACATACACACACATTCATGTGAATCATACCATTTTCTCTCTCTGTTCTTGTAGAACAATACTAATTCATCAAGCAGCGGTAATATCTCCGAGAATCCAGACCTGCCATTCTACCAAATGATTTATGGCATTATTATTGGTGCTATGGTATTGCTGTGTATTGCCAAGGGCTACACCTTCACTAAAGTCACATTGTGTGCTTCTTCCAAACTGCATGATACCATGTTCAAACAGGTAAGACATATTATTTGCAGATTAACCCCCCCCCCCCAATAAGGTATTTCCACTATTTCTAATTATGACAAAACTGCTTGTTTTTGATTTTTTTTTTTACAGATGGTATATTATAGTAGATTTACAGTGATATAGTAGATTAATTATATGATTCAGTTTATGATTCCAGAAGTTTTCCAGCAAAAACAATCATTTTTTTTAGAATTTAAATTTTAGATTAGACTTATTATTTGAATATATGAATAATATATTATTATTAGTTGATCTAAACCATCCTCATGGGAAAGGAACTAATTTTTATAATGTGAGTGATCAAGTATAATATGAAAAGGTAGGTTTAGTAATTGAATGCAAGCATTGTGATACTATTTGTTCAGAAAAATGAGAACCGCAGCATTTTGATACCATTTGACTGTACTTTTTATCAGATCCTTGGCAGCCCAATGAGTTTTTTTGACACAACTCCAACTGGCCGCCTGGTGAACCGCTTCAGTAAAGACTGATGCAGTTTTGCCGTTCAACATGGAGAACTTTTTGCAGTTCTGTCTGACCGTCACTTTCACCATTCTCACCATCTCCATAGTGTTCCCATACCTCCTGATTGCCGTGGCAGTTCTCGCAGTCATCTTTGCCACAATCCTATAGTGAGACATAAACATTGCACTTTAACATCATAAGATGTGTTTTTTTTAAATCCAGAAGTAGAACACAAACATTACAATCACAGATCCACTAAACAGGTTTTAATGCCATGGAATGTACAAACCATCTGTGTTTTCTCTTTGACCTAGTGTTTTCCAAAGGAGCATTCGTCAGATGAAGAGGATGGAGAATGTGAGTCGTTCTCCCTGGATCTCTCTCACCACCTCTACCATACAGGGACTCAGCACCATCCATGCCTATGACAAAAGAAAGCAGTACATTGAACAGTAAGATAATACAATCAATGTATTAGGATCTATGAAAATATATTAAAGGGATAGTTCACCTAAAAATGAAAATTCTGTCATTAATTACTCACCCTCACGTCGTTCCAAACCCATAAGACCTTCGTTCACCTTCAGAACTCAAATGAAGAAATTTTTGATGAAATCCAAGAGCTTTCTGAGCCTGCATAAACAGCAACGCAACTGACACGTTCAAGGCCCAGAAAGGTAGTAAGGACATTGTTAAAATAGCCCTTGTGACAGGGGTTCAATTGTAATGTTATGAAGCTACGAGAATACTTTTTGTGCGCAAAGAAAACAAAAATAACGACTTTATAAGAACGAAGGTCTTATGGGTTTGGAACGACATGAGGATGAGTAATTAATGACAGAATTTTCATTTTTGGGTGAACTATCCCTTTAAGATATTAATTTATATTAGAAAATATTTTAGAAAGACAAACAGCGCTGGGAAACATATTGTGGTACTTGCCAAAATGAATATGAAACATCGTTATAACCAGTGTTGGGGAAAGTTACTTTTAAAAGTAATGCATTACAATATTTTACCTTTAAAAACTACAGTATGAGATACAGGGACAACACACCCATAGTCCTCAATAATCTCCACATAAATATTAAGCCAGGGGGAAAAGTCCGCATTGTAGGACGCACTGGCTCTAGTGAGAGAGAGCATATTATGTTTTATTCAAAGCTTAATTTATGTTTTCATTTTTAAATTTTAAGATTAATTTTCTTATTATTGTAATAAGTTAATACTGACATAGTGTATACTGAATTAAATTCAGAAATGGAAAGTCGTGATATGTACTAAAATATGTACATGTTGTTACCTTCATAAAATGCAAAAAGCAGCTTGTGCATATCAGTAAAGGCATTTGTACTAAGAACAAGGATGTTCTGCCAGATCTTGGTTTCATTTGTTGACCCTCTCTTTCTGATTCAGGGAAGTCCTCTCTGGGTGTAGCATTGTTCGGTTTGGCAGAGCCGGCTGAGGGCACTATATTTATAGATGATGTGGAAATCTGCAAGCTGGGGTTGAGAGATATTCGCAGCCAACTCTCTGTCATACCGCAGGATCCTGTACTCTTCATCGGCACTGTCAGGTGACCTCTCACCTTTCAACTTTTACCTCTTCTCCTATTTTATTCACAATAGGTACTTATTCTACCAGTGCATCACCTCACTGAATTATGTTTTTGTCCGAAAATGACTTGAAACTGAATTGGGCAACAGCCATTGTGAGATTATTAATTTGCAATTACAAAAAGTTGCAATTATGAAAAATAAATTGGCAATTATCTTTATACTTACAACTTTAATCTACATTTAAAAAAAAAAATTTGTATATTGTAATCTTGTACATTTTGTGGTCACTATAGAAATAGTCACTATAGTTGGCATGAACCAGAAACTGTGACTGATGTATATCCAAATGAAATGACTTCTCAGATGGAAAAATGTAGCGCTTGATTTTGTACATCTGGAATTTATTTGGATTGTTGTCGTTTGCTAATTTCTCTGAGCTTTTCATCTGAGTGACATGGTTGCTGAATGAGAGCGATTGAAACTTTTTTTTTTTAGGACAACCTTTTTGCCCAGCCCTCACTCCAGTATACACCTCATCAGAGAAGAGCAGTGTTACTTTAGTATCATTGATATGGTGCCCTCTCAGAAAAAAGGTACAAAAGCTGTGTAAAATGTACTAATATGTGCACTTCAGGTACTAATACAGTATGTACTGATATGCATCCTTTTGGGGTAAATATGGTACAAAGGTGTACCTTTTGGAAGGGTACCGCCCCAGTGACAGCTTTTTTTCTGAGAGTGTACTATTGTTTTTATTAAAATGTAGAAATAGTTTTTAGTTTAAGATATTTTTTCCATTTAAATGTCTAGTTTAAAAAAATATAGTTGTATATGTCTATATACATTTTTATTTCAGTTTTAGTTGTAGTTCTATTAGTAAGTTAAACTGAAAAATGTTGTCTGGGCAACTAGCTGAATTAAAATACGTTTTTTAATATTCTATTTCAAGCTACATATTTGATTTTAACGGTTTTAAAAAAGTAATGATTTGCACAGATAAATCATTTTAATAAACACTGCAACATTCCATGAAAAAATAAGAATTGTTGATTTAAATTTCATGGTGACTAATGTGTTTGTTTGTGTGGTTATTTTATACAGGTATAACCTGGACCCCTTTAAAAACTACAAAGATGAGGAGCTCTGGCTGTCTAAAGACTTATATGAGGCCTACAAGCAATACATGTTTTACACAGTAGAAAACAGCTTGGATGCTCACACTTTTTTAGCTAGGCTTCAGAAGTTTCTTGAACAATACCTTTTTGTATAAGTAGTCAGCATTTGATCAATTGGCACTTCAACTCCACTCACTGATTTAAACTTTATGATAAAGTTTGCTTTTCTGCTGATCAGTGGGTTGCCATGATTTCGTTGTGATTTCAACAGTCAGTTTCTACTAGGAGCAGCTCAAACATCAAGTTAATCTAGCTTTTTATGTGAGGATATAATTTATTGAGAGAGCAAAGAAAAATCACAATATATGAGTGGGCATGTTACTATGAGCTGCACTATAGTGATGAAACATAGACGTAACATCTGCTTAAATTCCTCTCGGTGCCTTTCACACTTTGGGACATGGTAACATAAAAAAAGAGTAGAGGAACAGCAACAGAATATAATAGCCATAGAATATAAAAGAAACACTCAGGCATTCAGGTGTTAAATCATCCACACCCCTCTTTCTCTTTCTTGCAGATTGCTAAGCTGCCAGAGAAGTTGCACTCTCCAGTAGTGGAGAATGGAGAGAATTTCTCGGTCGGCTTGACTTGACTTAATATAATGTTTAATTCACTGTTTTGAATAATGACAACAAAAAGTTTATAGTAATTTATTGTGCTGTTCAATGAATATTGCCTATATTGCTTTGCAGAACTGATAGGGTGCAAGAAGAAAGAGAACAAAGTGAACGATTCAGTATGTGTGTGCACTGAAAAAGTGATTGCCTCCCTCACGCTGATGGAGTTCGATATCAGAATAGAAGAAGGGACGAACACCGATGATTTGGAGAATGAAAACGCTGATGTTGAGGAGTATAAAGAACAAATCATCACCGTGAAAGCGCATATGCACCGATACAGTGAAGCCGGTGTTGTGCCTAATTTCAAACCCCTGCCAAAATATTACCCACCTCGTTGAAGTCACTACCTGATTGCCTAGTCCTAACCCCACCCCTAATCCTAACCCCTTCCCCACACCTACTCCTAAATTTACCAATACTAGGGTGGTAATAATCTGGCGAGGTCGGAATTGGGCACAACACCGGGAAAGCAACAAACCTCGCAGCACAGACCTCGCTGCACAGTCAAACAGTTAAGATACCCAACCAGAATAATCAGAATAATATCAGAATAATCAGTTTGAAACCGCTATTCACAAAAATTATGCACTGAATAAAACAGAGAAGTTTAATTACTTTAACTTTTTTTTACTATTACTATTTAACCGGTGCTGCTTCAAAGGCAATAGCAGGACTGAAGTTAACAGAAAATAATTACGATGCTGCAGAATCGGTTCCGAAGAAAAGACCTGCTTATTAACGTGCATATGACCAAGTTGTTGAATACTGCCCAATAAAGAAACCTAAGGACGCCGCTGCTCTGAGACAACTTTATGATGAATGTGAAGTGCATATCCATAGCTTAGAATTGCTGGGTGTTGTATCAGAGGCATATGGCAGCTTGTTGTGCCCTTTTCTGCTACAGATGATTCCAGATGACATCTGGACTGTACTCTCCAGTACAGTCGACAGAGAGGAACCAGTGATGAATAGAAGTTATGGAATTCCTGCAGAAAGAGATTCAGAGAAAGGACCATAGAGCTGATTAAACCAGGCAATTCTAAAGACAACCAAAGCTACCAGAAACCAGTTAAGAGACAAGAGACATCATTTGAAATGAAGCACAGAAAGCACACCATGTCATCAGCTGCAGTACTGCAAACCACCAGTCAAAGAATGCAGAACTGCCTTTTCTGTGACAGTGCAGCGCACAAAACAGAACTGTGTCCAGAAACTGATACTGCTGCACGAAAAGACAAAGTGACGAAGATGGGATGATGCTCCGTGTGCCTTGGGCCAAAGCATATCGCAAGATTCTGTAAGACTAAAATGTGCTGTAATGTATGTGGAAGCTGATTCTGCAGCACCAGTAACAGTGAAGCGCAATACAGTGAAGGTAACTCTGCAGAACTTCTGGAAGAAGGGGCAGAAAATTGAAATAGAAGCACTCGAGACACCCCAAGTGTGCACCACCGTGATGAAGACTCCAGGTGAGCACATCCAAGCAGAGTTGAAACGAAAAGGCTTGCAGTTAGCAGATTACACAGATGACGGCACTTATGATACAGAGTTGTCAATGCTGGCAGAAAGAATAACAGACACACTTGTAGCCGTTGAGAGCATCTTTGGATGGTCAGTGCATGGACCAGTCAAAATGTCCAGTGTTGCTGATGCAGCCTGCATGTAAGTACAAGTTACTGAAGACACTGGTTTCAGAGCATCTGAAAGCCTTCTGGGAAATAGTCTCTTGGAATCGCCACGAAGCAGACAGACAATCCAGAGGAAGAGGAGGCTCTTCACAAGTTTGAAACGACAACTCAATACAAAGACAGATCTTTGCAAATGGACAACAAACTGTCCTGCGTTGAAGGAGAAATGGAAGACAATGATGAATGAACTTGCGTCAGAGACAGAGACACCAGGATCCATACTGAAGGTACTAGGCTTGGTGTGGAGGACGAAACGGATGATTTCGTCTTTGATCTGACTGCATTGCTGGATGCTGTAGCAAAAAGAGGAAAGGAGCATTCTGAAACTCTCCGCTTGCATATTCGACTCAATAGGCATTCTGAACACAAGCACGATGCACAACAACTTCACATGTTTTGTGATGCAAGCAATAAAGCTTATAGTACAGTTGCGAGACCTGCATCTGCCATACCTGCTGCAAAAGCAGATGATTGAAGAAAGACTACATGCCTCGTTGCTTCAAAGACCAGGTAGCCCCTCTGAAGAAGATGTCACTGCCGCGTCTTGGGAGCAGTGATTGTAGCGAGACTAGAAAATAACTTGCTAAAGCCTCTGAATATGGAGCTCCAACAAGATCACATGTGGACTGATTCGATGATCATGCTACAGTGGATTCGCAGTCCAGAGACAGAGACAACAGAGCAGCTGAAATACATTCCTTAACCAACCCTGCAATTGGTCCCACTGTAAAAGGCCAATTCAGCAGATCTCCCCAACAGAGGTCAGAATGTAGTTAATCTGAAGGAAAGTGAACTGTGGTGGAAAGGAACTCCATTTCAGACTGCACCGAATCTGTCTGAGAAGGGTGATGAAGATCAAAAGGACGAAGATGTGAGTAATAAGCTAAAACAAGTTCAGCAGATCACTGTGCAACTCAGCAGCAGCAGCGAACTAAGTGGAATGTAACCTGTGCTAGATTTACTGAAGTACAGTAAACAAAGACAGTATTGCGGGTCACTGCTTGAATTAAGAGGTTTGTGTTCAATGCAAGTTTAAGCTCCAAGAAAAGAGGTGAGTTGACTGCTGAAAAAAAATGTTTGAGGCTGAGATGTACTGGACAAAGTGACAAAAGTTTTCAGCTTTAGTCATGAGATCAGTTTGCTAGAAGCTGGTAAAACCCTAAACTCAGAATCAAAAATAAGTGATTTGAAAGCTTTCCTTGATGTTGATGAATTGGTCTGTGTTGGAGACAGACTGCAACAGTCGGACTTTAGTTACAGAGAAAAACATCCATGGATTCTACTAGCAAAGGCAGACATTGTGAGCTGCTGGTTCAGTACAACTGTGAATTTACCGTGCATTCTGGTCTGTGAGACACTCTTTTACAATCAGAAGTAGACACTGGAATTTTCTCACCTGTGAAGACGTGCCTGAGAAAGGTCCAAGGTAGAGCGTTGCTCAATTTTGAAGAAATGTCTACACTCCTTACAGAAGTAGAAGCCATACTGAATTCCAGACCCCTTTCTTCTGTCCACAATGTGGTTAAAGAGCCGCAGCCTCTGACACCTGCACACTTCCTGGTTGGTGAACGACTTACTTCACTGCCTCCAAAACCATTCCTAGAAGACTATGATCATAACACTGTGAGTAAGGAGGAGATGACAAGGTGGAGATAAAGGAACTGACTCATGACCAACCTGTGGAATCGCTGGATAAAGGACTATCTGCTAGATCTAAAATCTGCACATTCCTGTTGCACACAGAAACCTACTAAGTCGAAAAGAGGTGACATTGTTTTCATCAGAGATGCCAACATGCCAGGACAACCTGGAAATTAGGAAAAATTGAAGTTTTTTCCAAGCCGAGATGGCAAAGTTAGATCCTGCACTGTTCGCATATCCAGGGACTGTGTTAAGAAGACCTATTCAGTTGCTATATGCATTAGAGATTTAAGTTGATGAACAGTTGTTCATGGGAGGGAGGATGTTGTGAATTAAATTAAAGTAGTAAGAGTGAGAATGTTTAATATAATGTTTAATGAATTGTTTTGAATAATGACAACAGAAAGTTTCTATAGTTATTTATTGTGCTGTTCAGCTTTAAGAATATTGCCTATAATGCTTTGCAGAACTGCGCGCTAGAAAAAAGTGAACTAACGCTAGGACACTCTGTGCTAATGCACATTATTTAACATTATGTAGTGTGATCTGAGCTACCTCAATTGTGCACTAGCACTTTATTCTTACACTTCTAACATTTCTTACATCACTACAATTTTACATTTCTACCTCATGTTTATTGCTCTTGTTATGTTTAATGTACTCTTTTGTTAAATTCCTGTTCGTGTCATGAACATGTGCGTATACTTGTTTTGTTAATGTCTTGAACCTTGGTCCGTCAGAAATGACATTTCGCTCTTCTGTATACTGTGTATGTGGAAGAATGACAATAAAGTTGAGTTGAGTGAACTATTCAATATGTGCGTGTGCTGAAAAAGTGATTGCCTCCCTTATAACGTTGCACAACTTCAGTAAAACAGTACTTTGGTTTTTTAATAAGTTGTCAGTGGTTATTATTGCTTGCTAAGCAGAAAAGATAGAAAACGACTGAAAAATTTACATGAATTTCAGAATTTGATAAATGAAAGAGAAAAAAGAAATTAAAATCTTAAAAAAATAAGAATC